AGTCTGGGGTAGGTAAGATTAGCCTCAATTTTTCCTCCATCCATAACCTGTGGCATTTCTGATCCACACCAGCTCCGGACTCCCTCTGGCCAATGAGACAGCAGCAAACATGGCACCAGTGGAGACACAGAAAGCACTTGCCCCATAGGACATGTCCTTTTGCTGGTCCTGGGGACCCCGAGGCCGCCACCACGTGAACTAGCGCAAGCTGGCTTGATGGGTAAGACGGACACCTGGCCAGAACCACAGCCTGCAGCCAGCCAGCCACCAAGCACGTGGGTGAGACGTGCAGTCAACGGCAGATGGCAAGCGCACGAGGGAGCCCGCCCGGGAGCATCAGAACGTCAGGGAGAGCCCAGCCCACGGGGCCAGCACACACAACAGTGAGATAATACCTTGCTTTTTTTTTTTAATTTAAGCTATTAAAGGATTCTGTTTTGTTTTGTTTGTACAGCAAATGCTAACAGATAAAGTACCCTGATAATATGTCATATAAATAAATACTTGTTCTATCGGGAGCACTGTCCTACTTCATATGAATTTCACCATCTCTGGGGGAGTTCTTAATACCCTCACTTTATAGAGGAGGAAGCTGAGGTTCAGGGAGGTGACTTCACCTCCATACCTAGTAAATGGCAAGCAGCACTTCCAATCCCAGTCTCTGTGATGTCACAACAGATTCTCTTCACCACCTTCCGATGCAGACAGACGATTTCAGCGACACAGGATCTCGGAACCGCATGCTCTGAAGAATGTGGGCAAGGATTGGCTTGGTTTACCCTGTGGAAAGCAGACTCTCCGGGGCCAGGGGAGAAACTTTCCCTCTTCTGGAGACTGTCTTATGGAGGAGAGAACTGAGACCTCTGAGGAGAAGGTAGCGGTTTCTGGCTGGCAGCAAGAGAGATTCTTGTCCTAAAGGAGCGGTGCAGAATGGAACAGGTGCATTCAAGGTAAGATGAGCTCCCTGCACCCAGATACTCAAGGAAAGAAATGTAATCCATCCACGAACATCTCCAACTTCTTTCTGCCCCATATTTACTCATTTTGTTCTTCTCATCAAGGAGGCGCTCTGCTCTCTCCTCTTCAAGACCTCGTCGGAGTCCACCCCTTTTCCACAAAGCCTCTGCTGACTCTCCCCATCCCACTGAGCTCCCTTTCTCAGAACTCGCACCAGTCGTTCCAGTGCCCTCTTCTGTCGATATGACTCAACTCCAGTCTGCATTTAGAATGTGGAGCGGTGGACAATTACAGTTTCGGAAATGGACAGACCTGCACTCGGACCTAACAGTGTGTTTTCACTTACCCTCCGGACTACTGTATGAGGCTGTTATGGGGAGACAGTGAGAACACATGCGCCCACTGCACGAGCTGGGTAGTTCCTAGAGGTACAGAGTTTCACCAGATGGTGCTGACCTGGTTCCCTGAAACGGACCTTGAAGCAGGCGCCGTGCCTTACACTTCCAGGACCCCATCTCCTCCCAAGGCTGGTGCTAAGCACATGCAAGACGCCTAGAGCATGTCACTTCCACTGACTTATTAGCCACCCCAAAATCCCAAGCCAAGACACTTTTATCAAATAAGTCTGTGGTATTAAAAAAAAAAGTATCTGGTCTTTGTCCCTGGTTTCTGGCTAAGGGCTTCAGAACCCCTCGGAATGTCCTGAGTGATAGGCTGCCTTTATTATGCTAACGCGGCAACTCTGGGTGGGGCTCTGAGAGTCTCAGGATGGGGGCGGGTGATCAAAGACACCAACCGCACGGTTAGAGGGTTGGAACTTTGGGCCCCTAGGCCCCCAAGGAGGGAAGAGGGACTGGAGAATGGATTCAAGCACGTGGCCAATGATTTAACTTATCGTGCCTGTGTAACAAAATCCCAGAAAAAACTCGGGACACCAGGAGCTTCCTGGCTGGTGAACACACTGATGTGCTGGGAGAATGATGTGCCCAGGTCATCAAGAGGAGGCGGCGGGAAGCTCTGGGTCCCCACCTCTCTCAGACCCTGTCCTGTGCATTTCCTCCATTTGGTGGTTCTTAAGATGTATCTCTCTTTCTCTTTTCGTGTTTTTTTTTAATTGAGGTATAGTTGGTTTACAGTGTGTTACTTTCTGGTGCACAGCACAGTGATTCAGTTACACACATTCCTTCCCGTATTCTTCCTCCTTACAGGTCACTACAAGATACTGAGCATAGCTCCCTGTGCTGCACAGTAGGACCTCGTTGTTTGTCTGTTTTATATAGAGTAGTGTGTATGTGCAAACCCCAGGCTCTGAATTTATCCCCCCAACCCCTCCCCTTCCCCTCTGGTAACCGTACGTTTGTTTACTACGCCTGTGAGTCAGTTTCCGTGGTGTGTCCTTCATAACAAAACAGTCCTCTTACGTCCAGCACTTCTAATGCATCCTGCGAGTTGTTCTAGCAAATAACGGCCCCAAGGAAGTTGTGGGAACGTGCGATGTTTTAGCCAGTTGGTCAGAAGCACAGGGGACCCCAGACTTGCAGGTGGGGTCTGAAGTGAAGGCAGTCTTGTGAAGGACTTTGCCCTCAACCTGGGGTCTCCAGGTAATGTCAGAAGTGAATGCAACTGCAGAATACTCAGCGTCAGAGAATTAGGGTCAGAACCAAAAGCCAAAAAACCAAGCATCCTGGGCATTACGCTATGTCTTCCAGGATCAGAAAAATAAACATTCCAATGAGCTGTATTAAAAATATACACACTTAGAACGGTTTTCTTTTACAAAAAGAATCCCAACATTAATTGCCCCCAACTTTTCCTCTATTATCAAGTTAGTCCTTAGCATCCCAAAGAATGCTGCTGACAGAAATGAAAAAAAAAATCTCCGGATGAAATTCACTCGGAAGAAAATATTATGACATACAACTTAAAGTATCAATTCTTAATTTTGAAAAAGAAAAACATATGCTATTAAGTAAATCTGATATTTCTACAACATGTCATCATGTAGACCATGGATTTTCTTTAACAGATTAGTTTTGCCTGAGTGCGAAAGTACAATTCAGAATTTTTACTTTCAAAGATTACACGTCGTCATTCATTCACTCTCTCACGCTCTTGCTCCCTCTCCGTTTCCAGCGCTCTCTCTCAATCTCTTACTCTCTCAAGGAAAAATTCTGTACGGAGTGACAGCCTAACATTCTCTGCAATTTCCCAGGGTAGCGTTACTGGGGTAAATGAGGTGTCAGGTTCTATGCTAATTCATCACTTATTAATTAACAATATCAACAACGCTTTTTTCATTACTGATAACACATTTTACTGACTACCAGAGGATTTTTTTTATTACAAAACTTATCTCAAAAGCTCTTTCCTGTTATCGACGGCAATAATAAAAAGAAAAAAAATCATCAATCATCATTTTAATGACTGATCATTTTTCCCCTCACTAAAATTAAATCATAAAAGCCATTTAATTAAATTGAATGGTAACTGAATGACTTTAATCATGCAAAAAAATTAAAACGAAGGATGCCTTCTCTCAAAGCTTGACAACATGGAATGACGCAATTTGACCGATGTGGCCAATCCTGAGAGTAAGCAGAAGGTTGACGATTATCTTGCCTTTTGGTTTCATCAGCAGAAGAGCTACCGTGAGAAAAACGCTTTGCCTCTTCCCGCTTTGGGGCAGGGTCCCACCGACACATCTGCTCACGAGCAAGAAAGGGTCATGGGGTCTGATTTGGGGGGGTTCTTGTGACGGACCAAGTAAAGCTCCAGAGAACTCTATCTCAAGGAGCAAGAATAGGTTTCTCCGAAGTTTCCAAAATAACTCACCTAATATGCACTTACTGTATACCTTCTGTACGCTGTACCTGGTGGCAGAGATGCAAAGAGGCTCTCCTGGTCTTCCAGGGGAGACAGACACACCAACAAAACATCATCACGCGCTAAGTGCTGGGTCAGCTGTCTGTGTAAAGTGTCGTGAGCTCCTCAGGGAAACACTAGTAAATGCTCCCGGGAGAAATCTATTTAATTCACTAGGGCAGTTTCACATGAGTTGAGTTTTGAGAGCTGAGAAGTTCTCGAGGCAACGAAGCCTATTCCAGGACGGGTAAGAGGACCCGCAAGCAGAGCAGACGCTCGGGGCAGCTGGCCTGCAGGAAGGACAGAAGGGCAAGCGGACAGGGAAGCGGGTGAGGTGGCTGCAGCCCCCGCAGGGAGAAACGGCAGTCTACCCGCTGGATGGTGATGCGGCTTGATTTGTTTCTCATGAGGCTCTTCTTGGAATCAGTGTCCTTAAGAGGCCTGGGAATTGAGAACTGAGCACAGAGGGGAAGAGAAGAGAGAGAAGACGCATGAGAGAAAGACGCGCAGGAAACTAGCCGCCACCGGACAAGGCGGCAGTGACGCCACAGCCCAGACACCAAGACCGGATTTTAATGATCGTAATGTCTTCCCACGTCCTGGTGACGACAAGGGAGCCCCAGAGTGGAGACTACTGATGCATAATTCATAGTTACGAGACAAATGGATACTTCTGGAATCCAATCTTGCAAAAGGACAAGACTTGGCCAAGTTGTGAAGTGCCTCTATTACCTTCCTGGGCATCCAAAGTCCTCACGTTGACCTGCCTATTCACCTGTCTCCTTATTGTCTTGCTTTTTAACATCTCCTGCCATGACGCCTGGACCTTCTGCAGAATGAGACCCCGCCATCACAATGTACGAGTCCTCAATCTCATTCTCCCAAGATCCTTCTCTCTGCAGACAGGTATCCAATCCGTACAGAAAATTTGTTAAAAACTGTTACTGGCTCACTCATTCATCCAACAAATATTTATGGGGCAGTTTCCATGAGCCAAGCACAACGCACTGGATACAGCAATAACCAAGATACACAAGAGCAACAGTGAAAATCCAGCATCTTCACAGAGCTTACGTTCTAGGGGAAGGGGCAAGCAATAACAGGATCAAGAAGGAAAAGACAGAGTCAGGCAGTGGTACACGCCATGAAGAGAAGAGCAAAGAAAGAAAGTGGGTGGGGAGGGTTGCAACGACTACGAACGAGGCAATGGAATGAAAGCTTGGAGGTGATGGAGCAAACCATGCAGATACCGGGGCTAAGCAGAGGGAACACAGCTGCAAAGTTCCCTTGGCAGGGCTGGAGGACCCGAGTGGCAGGGAAAGGGTGACGGGAGGCACTGGAGGAGCTGAGCTCAGTCGGGGACCACGGAGGAGTGCGGGGCTGGTCCTGCACTGTTAGGACCCAACCTGAGTGAGGCGGACACCGTTGAAGGCCTCGAAGTGACATCTCAGACTTGGGTTCCCACAAGATCCATCAGGAGGCTGTGTAGGGAGTAAACTGAGAAGGGCAGTGGCAGAAGAGAGAGAGAAAGCGGGCAGAAGGCTGCTGAAGTAATTCAGGGAAGAAATCACGGCATCCTGGGCCAAACTGTTGGCAGCGGAGATTGTAGGAAGCGGACAGGTCTGGCTCTATTTTGAAGGTAGAGTTGACATCATTTACTGTTGGATTGGATTTGGAATGTGAGAGAAATGGAGGCGTCAAGAATGACTCCAGGACTTTTGGCTTCAGTAACCAAAGGGGTCAGTCGGCAAGTTAACCTTCTTCCGTCTCCACCCACGCTGTTAATATTGATGCTTAAAAGCAGAAAATAAAATAGCATACAACAGTCACTGTGTTTACCCTTCCTCCCCTCCTCTTTCTTCCCCTCTATCAGGCTGGTGAGTGCAAGGAAGCAGCACCACCTCCATGCTCTACACTTGGGAACCACGGAAGGGCTTTCCCAACTGAAACATCTCTCTAACCATCCTTGAAATGTGCCCAAAATTCCACCAGAAGAGGCTCATTTTTGGAGACCTTAAAGAGCTTGGTCTTTAGGACTTTTTAATTAGTAACAGTGACTTTGGAAAGAGTAGCTTTGATGCTATTTTTCAAACACGTTTCTTGACAAAATAATTGTCTTGCAGGTTGGGTGGGCAGATTTAGTAGATACTGATGCAGAACATCCAGCTCAATTTGAGTTTCAGATAAACAATGGATTATTTTTAGTGTTAAGTATGTCTCAAGTTTTGTATGGGATGTACTTACACTAAAACAAGAAAACCAAAAACTGTTGTTCACCTGAAGTTCCTATGCAACTGGGGCTCTGAGGTTCTACCTAACAGTCTATTTGGAAGTGAAAACACTGGAGTTGTTCGCAGCTAGTTCAGGACCGAAGAAGGAGGAGAGAAAAGGCGGTGAGAGGATGGAGATGACAGCTTTGCCCATTTTCACTGCACCCTGAATCCCAACCCTTAGACCTGCAGCAGCCAGTGATTCTAAGACTGCAATATGTAACCACCACGATGGTCCTTGGAGGAAATAAACATGGAGAGATTTAAACAAAACTTTCAGCCCTCGGAAATCACATTTTGAAAATGTAACCAACTCTGTAATTAAGTTCCAAATTATTTGCTGCAGTCAGTTTGGCTAACAGATGGGATGGTATTTCTGTTCGTCTTTTATCCCTGGAGTCAGTTTCCAGACATCCTGAGTGGGGCGTCTCACGATCACTGCCTGAGTGACAGTCACATGTGGCTAACAGCTTACTCAAATCAATGGATTTCTTTAAGTGAACTCAGTAAACTGTTATTTACACAGATATGAATAATACATTTATAAGGGGGAAAGAGGCAGTTGGGAAGTACTTTTTGAGATGGTGTATTGTGGTCATGACAAGTAATTATACATCGGCACACTGCTTGCTGATAAGATCTAACTGGTGCTATTTCAAGCAGTCTTTTCCCCAGTGGTCCTCTGTGATCCGCATCACAGTGGGATCCAGTCCCTCCATCTACACGGCAGACAGCAGTCACAGAAAGGTTCCTGTGCAGATTGGTTTGATGTAAGGCATTTGCCAGGGTCGGGGGTAGAGCTCGGTGGTAGAGCCTGTGACTGGTATGCACAAGGTCCAGGGTTCAATCCCCATTAAGTGCAAGATTTGAAAATATTAAGTAGTATATAAAAATTGATAAATAATCTCTTCTGTAGAGCACTGGGAACCATATTCAACATCTTGTAGTAACCTGTACTGAAAAAGAATATGAAAATGAATATATGTATGTGCATGCATGACTGAAACATTGTGCTGTACACCGGACATTGACACAATGTAATTGACTATACTTCAACAAAAATAAATGAATAAAAATAAAACATTTGCCAGATGAGACCCTCCAAGGCTTTAAACTGTTCTATTTTAATCCAATCCTTAAATGTGATATTCTCCCAGATATTTACTTAGTGTTTACTATTCAGACCTGGGTTATTTACCTCTCGAGACGGTCATCCTCATATCACCATTTTATATAAAAGAAAAGCGATGCTCTGAGGATAAAGAAACTTGCCTGTTGTCTTATAACTGGTGTTTGGAAGACCCTTCTCATCACGACTTTATATGATCGGATCTAACTAACTGGAGGCCCTTCCCAACCTCAGCGTAAACATACACACATCCCACACGCACCATCACCACTGTGAACTCTAAACACACAGTTGTCAGACTTACACGGGCAAAGGGGGACTGGAGAGCAGTTCTTGCTGTTGGATACAAACTCATTTCTGTAGAGTTATGCTTTCCATCACATTGAAATCTCTGTCCCTAGAGGGGCACTGGACGTTACAGGACAGACTGGGGCTGAGAACCTGCGTGTAATTATGAGTTTGTGTTTCTCGGGGGAGGGCACCTCATATTTTCAAAGAAAACTTTTCCTGGCAGTAGCTTGCATGTGCATATCTGTGCCCTCTACTTAACCACTCACTCCAATTCTCAAACTGCCAAAAGTCTCATTAACAACCATCTCAATATACCAGGGGGGCTGGCGTTTAATTATTCAGCCCTTTGGTAAGCAGAATGAACCGTGGTCATGTAAACACACTCCCTCCATATTTTGTTTGAGTTTTTGTAAATTATACTGTCTTAAGGAAGTCCCCGCCATGAAAACCTGTTACGTCATAGGCAATACTGAGTTGTCAAAGGCTGGAATTACCTGAGTTAAAAAGTATATCACCCAAGAAAATTGTGGTACACTTTCTCACATACCAATTCTCATCAGACTCAAAAACAGTGACTTGGAGAGTCTGTGACATGCCAAAGCAAACCACCAAGGGCCCTGTGAAGACATCAGCTAAATTTTATTAAATTTCCGTGTCCCCCACCCCCTCCCCCGCAAATGTCTTCACTGCGGTTGGAGCTTGGGTGAGTTATTTCACAGGCTGGCGGCCCACAGTTGATCACGCAAAAGATGACCGGTTCCTTCCTCGCCAAGTTGGAGAGATGGTCAAGCTCCGTACTCCCCCAATGGTCTTGAGATACCGGGAGAAATCGCTAACTCTTCTCTTTTGTATCATCCAAAGCAATGTTTAGGACACAAAACTAGGGTTTTAGTGTAGTTTGAACTTAATAACAACAGCAACAAAAGTACAAGAATCACAAACTCCGGTGTCCAAGCAGGAAGCATAAAGGGACGACAAGGCAAATGGGAACAATAGGGAACGGTGGAGCCTGCGGCAAAAAGGGAACCGTTTCCCCTGAGGAGTTCACCTTCATATCTAAATAAAAACTGTATTAGCCAAATAAGCACCTGCACTTGCTCCCCTTGTAGTCAGCTTTATGACCCCCGGTTTATGGCCCTGGTTGTAGCCCCTTGTCTACAATCCCTGATTTCTTAGGTGGGGGCTCTTGCTAAGCTAAGTTTGTCAAAGCCACCTTGGTTGCTGGAATTCAGACACGGATGGCGCCTGCAGCACTCGAAGAAAATTCTAGAGGCATTTCAAGATACAAAAATAATTTACAAGAACCTTCTGATTTAGTTTTTAAAAATAGCTTAATCATAATACATTAATATTAACAAGAATGAGTGGAAAAACCATCAATCTGCGCCGTATCGCCGGAGGGAAGAGTACTCGGAATTTTGCAGTTCAGAGTAGAAGGACCATTTCGTAGTCAGACTGTAAATGGTCCTTATAAATAAACATATTTCTGTTTCTGAAGCGAGTAGAGAAATTTCATAGTTAAATCTGTTGGGCTTGTGTTCGATGAAAACAATTACTTTCTTGTTTTGTCTGAATGATAGAGAACGATACACTTTTTCAAGGAAGAACTAATTGTGGGAGCAGTTAGGCAATTAAAACTCAGGTGTGCTTTGAATATAAAGCCCCAGGTTCCAGCAGCAAAAGGGACGACGCACTCTGTCAAGCCTTCATGGTACGTGACAGTCACGAAAATCTTGCTGTGTTAGGAGAGAGCGAGCTCTCCCACTGCTGCCTGGAAACACACAGACCGCGCGCTCCCGGGGCCTCTCCTGCCTGAAAGATGGGCTAGAGGAGTCCTCATTTTCAACAAAGGGTTGCAGGCGAGTCAAGGAGCCCCCGGCATTTCCAACACCTGGATGGCTTCCGGGTGTGTTTTATCAATTTCTGGCGTGGGACTAGTGCAGTGGTCACCAGTTTACATAAAAAAGCTGAAACATTGATTTTTCTTTTTATTGTGATGGTCTAGCCTCCTCAGAGTTGTCATATGCACCCATACCCATGATTCAGAGTGCAATAAAACACCCCTAATGGGCGTGAGCTAAATTAAATCTTTCTCCCATGATTTACAAGGCAGCATGGGATAATTCTGAAGAATATAAATTTTCATTACATAGGAGCCGAGACGGGAGAAAAACGTGTAAGAAATTAGACCAAAGCTCGTCTTCAATTTGTCTTTCTGAGTTTTCTGATTTCCCTTTTCTTGCCATTTTCCTCCAGATGGAAGGTCTGGGTCCTCATTAGAGGCTCAGTCCTGAATAAGAATTAGCAAGGAAAACAGGAAAGCCGATGTATGGGCTGCGAACTCTGATAAGTCATTTAATTTCTCTGTAACATGGTTCTATCTCCTGTAAAAGGGAGATGGTGTGTAGCCATCAAATGACATAAAAATAGATGTAGAACAGGTCTGCGGATTTTAAAACACTACAAAAGGAGGCACAGATCTCTTTAGAACTGATAGCATTCGACACCCACCCCTCCACTTTCCATTCTCGGGTTGTAATTTTGCTTGAAAATTGTGCCCACCTGTGCTTGCTTGCAGTTGGGGTCCAGGGCCATCAGGATTACTGGGCCTGGCCTGGGTGCCATCCTCAGGGCAGCAGCAGCCACTCCAACTCTCGCTGGGGTAGACTTTTCCAGAGAAGCAGGAGCTGGGCTCTGTGGGTTACAGCTTTGCCCAGACGCTGGCCTCCTGCCCGTTTTCCAGAGCAGCCACTTCCAAGCATAAACTCAGTTCCTCGTCTACCTGGGTTCGATGAGCATCATCAAGGCAGCCTCCATCTGGTACATTCCTTCCGACCACGAGAGGAAACGGAAGACGCAGCAACCTTGCCCTGCCTCCAACCCCTCTTGGCCTCTCCCTGAAAAACCCACTTACTCAGTGTCCTGTTCACTTCCCTGGGAATATTTCAGCTCCTGCCTTGGTCCTTGGGTCTAGTGCGTATCTGCTCTTCCTTCCGGTCGCTCCTCAAATGCACCTTTCTCAGGAAGGCTCTTCCAGGTTCCCCAGACTAGCCCAGGAACCCCACCGTCTGGCCTCACAGCAGCTGGAACTCTCCCCCCAGCACACCTGGTCATCGGTAAGGGTGCCTGTGTGTCCCTACGAGACTGCAAGCCCCACGAGGGCAGGGGCCGCTTCTGCCTCGGCATTACAGCCTCAGATGCCAGCAGTGTTCCCAGTATGAGAGTGACACCAGGCCAAGCCCAGTTCGGCCGCTGGGCAGGAAGGGCGTCATATACTGGGGCCAGCATTTGGCTCTTTGTCAGTATAAGCCGGTCTTGCTCTCCATCCTGTTTCTCAGTCCTTCCTTTTAGTTTTTCACCCCTCTTTCTACTCTCCACCCTGCTATACCTCCCGTATTCTGGGACTGCTGTTCAGAGGGTTTAACAGATTTATTAAAGGTCTCCCCCTCCCTGCACGGGGCATCCTCTGAGAATGGTACGTCCTCAGAGAACTCGTGGGGAGAGGCTGGGGTGAGTATGTCGGGGGAGGGGGGAGAAGGAGGGATGGAGAGGACAGGGTGCTGTCGGGAGGATCAGTCCAGGAGCGTGGATGAAGGCAGGACTCTAGCCCTCAGGGAACAGTGGCCTAAGGTGGTGTCCCTCAGGGCCCTGGGGGCCCAGACAGAGCTCTGCCTCAGCTGGGTTCCTCCTTGATCCTCAGAACACGTAGAGATTTGAGCGACTCTCCATTCTCCCAGGGATGGTAGCAGGGAACATAACAAAAAAGAAGCTGACTCACTCATACAGAGTCATCAGGAGACGCGAACCCCTTACACACGATGGATGCCTGAAGGCATCTTAACTGTCTTGCAGAATACCAGGGGAGCACTGCCGCTCAGAAGGCAGGACATCCAGAGGGGTAGGAAGACCCTGCTCTGTTCTGGGAGCAGGTGGCAGGATCCCGCCCTTACTGGGGTGTTGGGCCCCTGGGTCCCTCATTTCGGATCAGTGTTCCATCCGTCGCTTTACTTTGCAGCCCAGTTCAGCACCAACAGCTCCATGAGAAACTTTTCCCCTGAATTACAGCCAGGAAGGCAAAACAGATTTTAAAAAAATTTTTTTAAATACTAAGCATCAGTGACTCTTTATCTGCAGTGGTTAATAAGAAGGAGCTGGCTGTCGAGCTGGCACAGGAGAATGCCTACTAGCTCCCGATCGAAGAGGAGGGCACAGCAAAACCGCGATGAGTCACCGGGCTGGTAGCACACCTGAGGCGTGGGCCAGGCACCAACCAAGGAGGCGCCGTGGGCGAAAAGCTGGCAAGAGGCAGGGGCACAGCTGATGTTGGCCCACGGGCTTCTGAAGGGCCCCCTACACACCCTTGGCCACCTACCACCATCTGTGCTGCGCTGAGGCCCCTCAACCACGCGTGTCTGTGGGCGACGGCATCAGACATCAGTTCTCCCGGCCGTGTGCCCATCCAGCCCCCGCACAGGGAGAATCCCCAGGCAGGAGGACCGCCCCCGCCAGGGAGTATGGCAGGGACCCCGGCACGAAGGCCTGCAGGGCAATACCTTCAGGAAAAGACAGTAATACACACTCAGCTCCCAGGATGAGGGGTTAGTTACGTCCCCGGAAGCATCCTCATTGAGGTATAGCCCCGTGACTGATGGATGCAGCCTTGGCACCTCCTCCCTCAATACTGTGATTTCTCAAATGAGGACATTTGAGACCCTGAAAGTTCAGCGCCTTGATGGGTACCACAGGGTCGGACAAGATCAGAGTCAGAATTAGGAACTCTGCCCAGAGTTTAAAAGACCAGGCTGGCCATCAGAATCAGCTGAAAGTTTATAAAAAGCAAACAAAAAACCAGACCCCCTCCTAGAGCCGCTCAATCCAAAGCACCAAAACTGGGAACAAAGAGCCTTAATTTCTCAAAAGCTCCCATCTGATCTGTCAGATTTGGGAAGCACAATCTCAGACTTATCATATCAACTGTTACCTGTGTCCCTAGAGGATGCTAGAGGGAGGTCCCCGAGGTCTCCGACTGCTAGAAGCCTCTGTACCTGCGGAGGGGACCAGGCACGCGTGGGAGGAAAGGTAGGGCCCAGCACAGAATCCTATTGCCGGCTGGGCTGGGGAAGGGAGGTGGGGGCAGGGGTCAACCCACCTGTAGGAAGAGAAGGATGCTCTGTGCCACTGTGCACGTCTGGGAAAGGGCTCAGCGACTGGACTCTGAAGCACGTCTATTCAAACACGTGAAGAGGGAAGGCTGGGTAACTTCCAAATGTCTCCTGAATCCCTGTGCATTTTCCCATTTCCAATCCATGGCCAGCATCTGTGTTCCGACCTTTGAAATCTCTTGCTCTGGTTTTACCGGCAAATGCCTAACTGGCACCCCTTCCTTCAGAACCACTCTTCTCCCATCTCTCCTTCGTACTGTTGCAGGAGAAACCTTTCACATGTACAATGTTTTCATGGTGCTCCTCTGCTGAAACTCTTACAACGCCCTTTCTATTTATAAACGAAAGCCCCAAAGCCTTATAAATGCAATCAGGGCCCTTCTTAATGCGTCTTTGGGTTATTTCTTTAATTTCGTTTTCAGAGCTGTCCTCTTCACGCCTCGAGTTCCACAGAAGTTGCTGTCCCCCAGAGAGATCACTGGGTCTTTGCACATGTCTTTCCTCCACGCAGAATGCTCTTCTTGCCTCTCTGTCCTCTCTTCCTAATTTCTATTTAGAAAAACAACATGTATCCTTCAAGTTCCCGCTGAAATGCCATCTTCTGTGAATGATATCAGTCTACTCCAGAGACATCCTCATGTTAATAGGAAGAAAAGTTCAAGAAATGGAAATTGACGGCATTGCCGGCATCAACCAACAATGAAGATGCTGTTGGGCAACCAAGCCACTAAAACCACACCTTCTGGACAAACATTTCTGTTGCCAGTGGACGGAGTCAAAATCAAGTGGGAAAGAGGTGGGTGTCAGGGCATCAGACAACTTCCGACGCGTTTTCACCTGGAGCCGAGGCAAACGCCTTCTTGTGGGGTTGGCGAACGTACAGCTACTGATACTGGCAGGCCTGGTAGCCGGATCCAGGTTAAGTGTTTGGACTAATTTAGGGAAAGAGGTAATCTGCGAAATGCAGTTGCGATTTGCAAATCACGTTGCTGTAACCTTCTCCTCCAATATCGTTCAAAAGCAAAATGCAACTGATCCTATTTGAGCTACGAGCAGAAGAAAATAACTCCTTGTGGCAGCAAGCATCTGTCAAGGGGTTTGATGTTCTCCAAATACTCCTTGGTATTACGCAGGCCATTTTTCACTTCTGAAGGGGATTCTCATTGACACGCATGAGCTCGGCACTCTATTATTTATGGTTAAGTGCAAATTGGTATGTTTAAGAAAAATGCAAAATTAAAGGACATGTATATTAAAAGACCTGAGGTGGTAATTACGCATCCCGTGCGGATAATTTAAGCAGAGTGACATTACAATATGCTTCAGTAATCCTAGGCGTGGCTTAAGAATGCAATAATGCATTGCTTTTAAAAGGTCCGCACACAAACTTACAAGAAGCCAGGTTGCTCTGGAAGGCATTCTGCGGCTGTGAAAAAATGCTTCAGCAGAGACTGCAGAGAGGAATTAGTGTTAGACTGTAGGTTAAACAGTCGAGCTGCCCGGCAGAATTTTCTGCAATGATAGAAATGTTCTATAACATTCTGTAGCAATTTCTCTAACAATGTGGTAGCCATTAGCCACATGTGGTCATAAAACACTTTTTAAGTGGCTAGAATGACTAAGGAATGGAATTTTAAATTCGATTTAATTTAAATTATAAATTTAAACCTAGTCTGCTGTGACTAGCGGATGGCATACGTACTGAAGACTGCTCAGGCTCGCCCCTTAACATGCGATTCACACAAAAGTACGGTGACTGTCTAACTAATCTTTCCAGTTCTCAGTGTATTTAACAAAATAATATCTAATGGTCTGGGGATTTATAGATTTTAAATTCTTCCCGCCACCTCCCCCCACCATCAAGTAAAACAGAAAACAGATACGAATCAATAAGGACATTCTACTGGGATCGAGAAAACGATTCAGCAGTTACGCACACGCACCCCGCCCCCCGTCAAACGGGTATTCTGAAATTCCTTTCTAAGGAAATTCCTTTCTCATGGGGCACGTTAGATAAAGCAGGCCTGGAGCATCGGAACTTCTGTTGGCTGTCATTACGCCTCTAATTTAAACATTTTGTCAATATCGTTGCTGTGGACAGGCTAGGCAGTCTTTTTGTTAGGTTTTGAAAATTCTGTAAAGGATCCGAATTTTTCGTTCTTAAGAACCTTCTGGAGGCTGGAGCTAAAAGGGCGTGCTAATAATTAGCGGGGACAACGTACGGCCTTGCTGCCAAGAGAGCAGGGATGGCGCTGAAAGTCCCAGATGCTGCGGAGCTTGCGGAGGGAACAGACACGCCGAACTGCGCCACACAAGCATCGTCACAGTCGCGAAAGCTGGGCAGCTATCCCTAAGCCTAACGATGAGGAACGGGTTAATAGCGAAATCTACAGAATGGAACACGGCAGCCAATAAAACTTGTATTCAGGACGAATAGGAAAACAAAAATATTTAAAAATTTGTCATACACAGTATAAAATAAGTGAAAATACGCATTGAGGAATATGATCTCTCTCTCTCTACATATGTATACAGTGCATATTATATATATAAACTAGATTCTAAAACTAGACATATTTAAAAAAAATTAATTCATTACAGTCCCATATCCTACCACCTGGAGATAATTACTATTAATATTTTGGTATCTATTTATATATTAGTATATATTTTTCAAAATTACCATGTATTGATAGTTAAAAGAAAAATTATTCATCTTACTTGAAAATCGCCTTTTAAGAAGTTGAAGGTTCCAGTGCAACAACAGAAGAGTAAGTGGTTAGCTTAGCCGCCACGCTGTGCAGAGCTGGGTGGTCGGTGTAGTAACAAACCTTGGGGAACCACAAAGTGGTTCATAGTCTGTCTAAAGCACCCTACTTAGACACAGGGAGAAAACTGGGTTCATTTGATGACTGATACATACTAATAAATGGCTATAAGTTTTCATCAACATCAATTGTCTTTGGTTTTATGTAAACCATAAGTATCATTTTCAAATGGCTATGAGCACTCACTCTTTATCCGCCCTTAGAAAAAGCAGTGACTAACACAGTGATCTGTTTACAGCTCTGAAGGTGGCTGCTGAAGTATGCAAAGGGTTATCTCTAGCCATATTACCAGCAAAGGTCCCCAACCACCTGGACGCTACAGGGGAAATCCATTTCAGGGACTTTCTTTTTTAAATCTTGGCCATTTAACGGGGCCAACCTGCCTCTCCTACTACATAGAAATAGCTCACAAGAACTAGAAACTGCTGTTAAAAATATATTAAAGTGCTGGAGAACATGAAAGCCGCTCTGCAATGAAGCCATTAAACGGAGTGAAGCTAATTTCTGAGGTACATTCGAACCTACAACCTAAGTCAGCAAGCAGAAGCCAATAAACTTTTATGGGGTTCTGTAACCAAGCCATCCCTAGGAGTTAAATTACCAATGCCCATTACAAGGTGCGTTTGACCAGCAAAACCTGAAGTGACACTTGCCGCACATACACAGAAATAAAGTTGGCAAATGGACATCTTAATTTGCTGCTAACTCTATGGGTGCTTATGCCATGTGCGGAGAGCTGTATTTATATGTGAACCGAGAAGCAACTACTGCATCCTGCTTTGGACAATTAACATAAAGCCAAGCAATTTGAGCAAGGTTTGGAAAGCAAACACTGCAAATGTTTAGAACGGTGCCCCTGTGGTGCCACCAGGTGCTCGGGTGAAACATTAGACCTTCAGCACCACGAGCAGAGACGGGGTCTGCCTTTCAACAGCTGGTGCCCAGTACCTGCACTGGGCCGGGCAGGTGACGAAGGTCACCTAGATATTTTGGAAGAAACGCCTGGGTGGACATCAGGAAAAGAGGCAACCCAAAAGGTGAGGTGTATATCTTTAGATCCTTAATTCAATTACCAATTATTAATTAAGCCTTCTTCCTCAACCCTGGGGATTTCCACTAAATAGACAGAATGGCGCATATCACCACGTGTGGTGTGGATGGCTCCACTCTCTGCTCTCCTGCACACGTGACTTACCTTTCCTGCTCTGAGAACCTGAGAGCAGTTTCCCAACCCCTGGCCCCTTCCTGAGTCTTGGTTCCCTCGACTTCTTCCATTGGTTTACGTGAGTGAGGTCACAGCCGTTACTTTAAAAGTCCCCTTCTGAAACCAAATTAAACCAAACCAAAGAACCAAAGATGTGAATTTTCTTCAATGAGTGGAAATGAACAGATGTAACCTCTGCTTTGTGAAAACACTTCCCAGGAATCGTTAGGACTAGAAAAGACCTAACCAGTCCATTCCAGAGCCTCCAGGCAGAGAAAGAGCCCTGGACACCAGCAAATGCGATCTATTCAGACAGTCAAGTTCTTGGGAATGTCAGTGCTAAGGGCCCAGAAACAATTTCTACAAAATACACACGGACGGTTAACCCTCCATCATTTCCCTTCATTGTCAGGTTAACAGAACATTCATCTTTCAGGTAGATGTTTAATTACTCTTATTATTATTAGTATTAATTGCTTTATTATTGAGAAATAGCATAGTGAGATGGTTAGGAGCACGGGCTCAGGCCTGGGCCCAGACTTGAAAACTGGCTCTATCAGAGGACTGGAAGACTAGGAAACATTGCCAACTATTAGAAGTCTCCATAAAAATGGAATAAAACTCCACCAAGCTCCCTAGGTTACAACGAAGATTAAAAGAGACAGAGTGTGAGAAGTACTCAGCACAGCACCTGGAGCGTATTAAGGGCCTCAGAGTTGGCCACTGTTACTATTCTGATTGTCCACATATTGATACTATGGTTCAAGGTAACAGAAACACGGCTTTTTGACTTCCAAGCCAAGTGCACAGCCCTGATCTCACTGAATGCTCCCATCAGCTCTCTCATTTAGCCGGGAGAAATATCAGTAAAGACAAAGAATTGAATCCTTTGTCGCTTGTTACCTAGTAACTCAGCTGAGGCACGGAGCTTGAAGCCGGCATCTTCGACATCGTGGCTCAGCCCCTCTCTCTGCCACACGACGCTGAAGACAAGTGAAGTTTAACGAGTTCGATTATATGGCTTGAGACAAAATGGTAGCAAAGGAGATTCTGGGTTTCGGTGTGTCTCGGGGCCGTCCTGTGGGAGCCACAGGGAACCTGGGTGGGCCGAGCCTTCTGGCAAGGGGCAGCGCTGGGCACTTCGGACCCCATGCAGCCCCTTCCTGGGCCAGGAGCCCGTGGGACAGAAGGGAAGGCCACGGCAAAGAGCAGTGCACGGCGGACCACTACCCGAGGCAGCCCACGGCCCCGTGACCACCTTCAGCGCACCCTCAGCAGCTGGCAAGACCCAGGCAGGGTCAAAGCAACCGCAGAGGGTGCAGTTTTGCGGACATCACAAGCCTCAGTCACTCAGGGCAGCTCCAGCCCTCCCGCTCGCCGGTGTCTGCTTGCACCTTCTCAGAACCCTGACACTCAGTGAGCGGTGGAGTAAATAGGGTCAATGTTAGGGATGATGTCTGAGCTGCAAAGCATCCTCGAATGGGCCGGTCCAATCTGTATAATGCTACCCAGTGTCTAGACACTGCCGGGCACGGAAATCAGGAGTCAGGGCTCTTGCCTGAATGGAGAAGGTCTAACTGGGCATTGAGCCAGCCACACCTGGAGCGGCTAGAGAATCTCCCGGGGCAGCACAGAGGCCGAGATGGGGTTTCAGACCCTGCATCCCAGCCAGCTCAGGCGCGGACACTCAACGCCGCTCAGCGGACGTCAGTCAGAGCCTTCTCCTCCTCCACTGACCTCCTGCTCCGCAGCAGTGGACTCCATCCTGATGCTAACAGCAGTCTCAGCGCTGACGGCCTCCAGGGAGCGGGGAAGCCACAGCAGATGCCCCACCCCGGCCCCGCAGGCCGGCCCTGTCCAACTCAATGCGTGTCGTCGTACTCGGTGGGGGAATCCGGGCTCTACACTGACTCCCACTGCCGTCCCTCCAGGCCGTGGCCGTGATGCCTGCGAAACGTGCCCTGAAGACGATCCAGTGGAAGCAGTCCTCAGACGGAGAACCACGTGTGGAGCAGTTTCAGGGCTCCCCCCAAGGTGGTCTGGAAACTGAGGGAGGGTCTGTGTGTCACAGATGACTCAGTGAGACTCGCCCCTCCCTGATCAAGTCTACCTCAGCCCCTCCAGGGCACACACCATCACCTCCGCCGTCTGTGAACTCCACCACCCCACCCACATTCCCGGACGCTCAGTGAAGGTCTGAGCTGCATTCTGCTTCGTGCTGCTGTACGTCCGGGGACCCTGCTCCACTTCCCTAAGAACGGGGCTCTGCCGGCACAGGCTGAACAAATTGAGTTGACTTTTCAGGCACTGAATTTACTTTTCATTTAGGAATAGATAATACTTTCTTTTTTTAAAATATTCCATCTACTTGCATCTGTTTCTTTTTATTTATTTATTTATTTATTTATTTAATTTATTGAGTTATAGTCAGTTTACAATGTTGTGTCAATTTCTGGGGTACAGCACAGTTTTTCAGTCATACATGAATATACATAGATTCATTTTCATATTCTTTTTTTAACATTTTTTATTGATTTATAATCATTTTACAATGTATCAAATTCCAGTGTGGAGCACAAATTTTCAGTTATACATGAACATGTATATATTCATGGTCACATTTTTTTCTCTGTGAGCTACCATAAGATCTTGTATATATCTCCCTGTGCTACACAGTATAATCTTGTTTATTTATTCTATATATACCTGTCAGTATCAACAAATCTCAAAATCCCAGTCTGTCCCTTCTCATGCCCCTTGCCCCTGGCAACCACAAGTTTGTATTCTATGTCTGTGAGTCTGTTTCTGTTTTATATTTAAGTTCATTTGCCTTTTTTTTTTAACATTCCACACATGAGCAATCTCATATGGTATTTTTCTTTCTCTTTCTGGCTTACTTCACTTAGAATGACATTCTCCAGGGACATCCATGTTGCTGCAAATGACGTTATCTTGTCAATTTTTTATGACTGAGTAGTATTCCATTGTATAAATATACCACAACTTCTTTATCCAGTCATCTGTCGATGGACAGTTAGGCTGTTTCCATGTCCTGGCTATTGTAAATAGTGCTGCTATGAACATTGGGGTGCGGGTGTCTTTCTGAATTAAGGTTCCTTCTGGATATATACTTTTATTTAGGAATAGCTTCCCACATATAGAAATAACCTGAAGATTCTCCATCGAAGATTTTCACAAGGAAGTTTTGCTCACTTCAGTCTAAGAAGAGTGGACCACCACTCTGCCCAAAGTAGGAAGAGCTCACATACAGGGCTCACAGGAAGAGCAGTAAAACTCTAAAGTGAGAGAAATGTGTTCTTTCAGCTGGCCCATACAGCACATCACTTTACTTACAACTATTAGAAACGTGTTATGAAATGTTGGATTCCTAGAAAAAGACACTTTAGGAAAACCGTCACGATAAATCCACGAATCTCTAGTATTTACGGTGTGCCTGATACACCCTAACCTTGTGCAGTGTACAACCTGTACAACTGGATATGACACCCACTGCTAAGCTTTACCACAGAAAGGATTACTGCCTCTTGGGGCTCCTGTCTTGCTGTTTGGATGCAAATAAAATTTAGAATGCAAGTTGCAGTTAATCATGTTGCTGATTGCTAGGATGTGGATTTGACCACATCCAAGAGTGTGGACGCTGGAGGAGAAGACAGATCCATGTGATTCACTTAGGACTACTATATATAAAATAGATAAACAAGTTTCTTCTGTGTAGCACAGGGAACTATATTCAATATCTTACAGTAACCTATAATGAAAAAGAATATGAGAAGGAATATATGTACGTAAATGTATGACTGAACTATTATGCTGTACAACAGAAACTGACACAATATTGTAAACTGATCAGACTTTAATCGAAAAAAGGAAAAAGAGAAAGACCAAGTTGCATGGTGCACAGTAACTAACTGTCCAGAAACTGGCTGGCTGGGTTGGGGTAAGCATGGGCTTCAGCCTGGATCCCGTCCTGCATTCAAATCTGGGTATATTCCCTGACAGCCGGGATCTGTGCATCACATACTCACTGAAATGCCTCTTTGAAGATCTACCTTTTGCTTTCCCTCCCTGCACTGCATTCATCGGGTGGCTACACTCAGGCCACAGAATATGATGAAGGGTCCTCTTTTTTATCTGCTTTCTCCTATAGCAAAAAGACCACCATTAACATTCACCAGATTCTTGGTATTTTTAGAAGTCATTTCATCATGTGTATCATCTTAAAATTGGTTCCCTGTGGTGATGCTCTGTGGGAGGGCTCATTAATTTTCTCACTGTAAAGCTTAGTTAAATGACTTTCTGGCAGTAACATAACCAAAACAGGATAGCTTTATGTCCAGCCATTAAGCTTCTGACTCCTAATTATCATGTGTTCATATACACACACACACACATTTACATTTATGTATTCACACATACATATGTACTTTACATGCTTGTAAAATTATAACCACCTATCCTGGAATTAAGAAGAGGCAGAAGGAATAGGTAAGGAGGACACAGAAGCACAGGGTCAAGACAAGGTTGCCGTGAAGAATAAAATGAGCCCCTTCTGGTATATCTGACTCCCCAGAGCGTCCCAGAGTATACAGAACGGTCTGTTTTTCAACACGATATGTCCCCTTAAACGAAAGAGCAAACACTGGGTCACGGCCATAGGTTCTATTTGACTGAGGTCATCCTTGGCACAAAAAGCCTCAATGAAATGTTGAACAGAACCCTCCTTGAGCAAACTGGGCATTCTAGACGGATGGGCACCTTCCACTGAGAGCCCAGGAGAGAACGGCCAATGGTGCTGTTCACGCACAGGTCGGCTTCTCGCGCTCAGTGCTGCTCACCTTGCAGACTAACCATTCGCACACAGCTGCGCAGGAATCCACCCCGCCTGACTTCAGCATGAAGTTTCTGCTTAACAGAGAAGCATGTGTCTCACGTTCTGCGCTTCCGATGACGGACTTGGCCTTTCTCTGCACCCGGATGGCTCTGCTTCAGTGAAGTTGTTCAAGGAAGCACGAGGGCACCTCTTTTTCATGTGACTGCTCAAGATTTGAACTAAGCTACTCTTCCCTCCCGTATCCTATGATCCACACTATTTGGCATTAAAAATACAGAAGAATAAATTTATCTTAAAAACCATGATAATCTCACTAAAAAAAAATGTATACTGTAATTATGTGATGAGATGGCTGTGTTAACTAACCTCATTGCAGTAATCATTTTCACAACAAACACATGTATTAGATCATCACTTTGTGCATCAAACTGACACAATTTTATATGTCAATTATATATTAATAAATGTAGGAGTAAGAAAAACAATGATATGACCTAAAAATAAAATTTATTTCATAAGTTAAAAAAAAAGGCTGAATAAGCACTTTCTAGGGATGGCCCACGTGGAAGCTGAGTGGATCCTTGAATAGGCAGCCAGCTTCTATCCAGAAGCAGGGGTTTCTTGTAAATGGGGTAACAAACGTGTCAGCGACAGAGTTCCCAGGAGCTTCCTAGGACCCTGGATGCTTTCAGGGCAAGAGAGGCTCCTTTTTTGCCATCTTCTCTTAGTTTCTAACGATCCTGTCTTCCCACGTGCTGCAGCTGTCCAAGCTCCCAGGGAGATGAAAGCAGCCTCGAGGAGCCAGTAAAACATCCCTGGGCAAACGGCCTCGGGCGCAGGACCTCAGAGGCAGAGCCAGCGGCAGAGTGCTGCCGGCTGGACAGAACCCACGCGCCTCGTCCTGACGAGAACGTCCCCTGACACAGAGGATGCAAACGTCGTTCGCACTGCGCGGCGGAGGGCGGTGCCTCCTGATGGGGCTCTGAAAGCACTGCCTCCCTTGCCTCGGGCGAGGATGCCCGTCAACTAAGGGAGGGTGGCCGGTGCCCGGCCACCGAGAGCGGGGCCGCGCCGGCAGGAAGCTTGCTGCGCTTACCGCGTGCCCGTCCACACCGCCACAGCTGCACTTCGCAGCAGGGCTCCTGCTGACACAGAGGGGCTCCAGGCGGGCAGGAGCCGGAGTCCGAGCCCTTGGGAACATGCCGCCTGCGTGGGGAGGGGTGGCGGCAGGTGCAGTCTTAAAAGGACCTGTATCTTGCGCATGAAACCCAGTCTTAGCGCTGTCCTGGCTGCTAAAAGACACTGACAGACGCCTGTCACCTCAGCTAATGCCAACGGGGGTGAGAATGTGAAACCCCGCGTGTCGTATACACACATACAACCCAAACACCTACACGTAGTAAATACAGTGTATACACGCATACATACACACCGGGGCTGAACAAACCCACCCCTTCCTGGAACAGCCGTGAACCCCTTCAGTTATTGCCAAGGTAGCTTTTCCTTTTAAAAGCATTGTTTTCCCCTCAGGGAAATGTGAGTCATTTCACTCAGACATGACAAAATGTGAGGGGGGAGGGGGCCGGCGGGAGAAGGACTGAATCTCAAGAAAAAGCATGAGAGTCTGGCGGACAAATTTTCTTTCTGACACAGTGAGTCATTTGTCTCCCGGGACCATTTCATTACGAACAAGACGCAGAAAGTCAATTTTTTTTAAAGAAATCAGCATTATAAAGTATAAATATAGGGCTGAAACCCAGCAATTAGGCTTCATTTAGATCGGTCTGTATTTTTCCTTCTGAGAGAAGGGAAAAAGAGAAGGAACAGCAGTCGGATGTGAGAGAGGAGCTCCAGGCTATGTGTGCAAGGGGCTTTGGCTATCTTTGTGCAGACAACGGGGGTGAGAATGCTGTCTTGCACACACCCCAGGGTTCACAGCAGCACACATACAACGGCATATACACAACAGCTGAGACATGGATGCAACAGAGAGAAAACAAGAAAAAAAAAAGAAAAGAGAGTGGATTCATGGCTTGGAATTCTAACACCAATGGATCATCCTGTGGTCCCAAGAGGATGGTGCCTGGGAGCGCCTTAGAAACAGGAGAAGTACACATATTAATTCCAA